AACATATTCCTATTCTAATAGGATTGTATAAACTTAATCCCATTCTAATAGGAATGTATAAACCTCTTCCTATTCTAATAGGATTGTATATACCTATTACTATTCTAACACATCTGAATGAGGTGCATTGCTGTTTAGAGTTTTCAAAACATGGTTTGACTTTTGAATCTCGTCCGAAGAAAATTAAGTTGTATCATGTTTTAGATCTGTTTGTTGTGGGAGTATAAATTACTTGGTGATGGTATATCTGAGTTTGAGTTATAGTTTGTGGAATCCTATTTCAATTGTCAATAACACATACATCTTGGTGTACGAATTTGTCACCGCTCCTCAAACCTGTTTACATAGGACAGTTAACTTGCTAACAAGGGGTCAGATCATGGTCAAGCATTAGGTATTGGTTTTGAGAGATATCAGTAACGAGTTAGATTTGAGGTTATCTGAAGATATGAACTGGGAAGTTTTTTGACCAAGTTTAGTTTGTGTAGTGATTAGGGATAGATGTACATGATGCTAGATGGAAGACTCTGAGGTGCAATTGCAGAAATTTAGAAAAACCTATGACGAATAAAGAGAGGAAACTAGGGGACAAAACCTTGTCTTCAAGTTAGACCGATCACAAGTTGTCAACATGTGAAATGGCATGATTTGAGAAGGATTCAAGTATAGTTGTATAGATAAACTATACTAGATGCAAGTGGCCTTGTTGCAATGATCTTAGGCATGAGATTCTCACTTTTCCTCAAGAGGATTTCATGTTGGTTTATAAAAATGTGTAGATCTGTCAATGGCTGTTGAGAACTGATTGGAACGTAATCCGGTGCACCAATCTCCAAACTGTTCCAGTTGGATATGCTAAATCATTATCTCCGAGAATGCTATCTCATGTCATAATATGAGAATAAGTTTTTTTGACGGGTGTCGTTTTTGTCCCTTTTGTTTTATTTTTTTACTTGGGAGTAGAGGGAGATGTGACTTTTTGGTACTGCAGGTTCCTAACCATACTGCAGTTTAGTGGTAACTGTCCTTTGACCTACACAACTCTCTGTGGACTGCATTTTACCGAGCTGGATGATTGGTTGATTCTAAGTTTTAGATATTTTTTTCTGGCTGGGGAAGAAAGCAGAGACTTTACATGGTTTATTCATATATGCATATTTTGAGTCAATATGATCTTCGTGTGTTTGTTGCTCAAGTGTTACAGCACATCTCAGTGCATGATATAAACCACTGTGCATTATGATTGTTTATTGATGATCAAGTTTCTTATGTATAGATTGAAGCTACAGCCATGCCTGAAGAATATCGTTATGAGGTATGTTGCTCTTTCTTGTTTTATGATGTTTGTAATTGCTTACATTCAAATCTTCTATGGAGTATCTAAAAAAATATGTTCCAGTATGTTGTCAATTTTTACTTTTATATGATGCTTGTTCATTTTAGATTCCAGTGTTTCCGTTTCTATGGAATTTGAAGAAAATTGACCATAAGAAACTTTTAGTTTTGGAACTTCCTGATTATATAAAAAAAAACAAAGAAAACTACAACCTGTTGAATTGGGATCTTGGAGACCCTTTTTACTTTTTCAAACTTTCCTTTCTTTTTCTGCCCTAGTTCTTTTGATCAGCTGGGGAGGTGTGTGTATGTGTGTGTGTGTGTGGGGGGGGGGATGGTATATCAGTGGAATGGACTAATTAGCAGGGAATGGAGGGTTTTTTGATGGTTTGACCTGGAGCTTTGCTTGTGGATGTTGGTAAGGAGTGGAAGGATTTAACTTACAGTTTGGTCCCGTCTTTTAACTGTTTTTATCTCTCTTCTTCTTTTCCAGAAGGAACTTTTTTGTTAGGATGATGTTCATAAGCGGGAATATAGCAAATAAGGTTGTACTCTTTTTATTTTGCAGGTTCCAATTCTGTGCAATGACTGCAATAGTACTGGTAAAGCATTTTTTCACATACTTGGGCACAAATGCAAGCATTGTAATTCATACAACACCCGCATGATTGGTACTTGCGAAGATCCCCAATGACATACATGCTCAGCTTGATTCAAGTGGTGTTTTTTCTCACATTAGGCGTTCTTGTTCCTTTTTGATTTGTTTCTTCTAGCAACCAGTGTTACTGTACAAAGAAATCTGGGATAGTCCTTGGATAAAACCTCTCCATTTTTTCTGTTGCATATTGAAAACTTTCAGAAAGAGTAAAAAGAATTGGCTCCACTCCGACTCTCAGATTAAGAAAATGATGAATAACATTGAAGGGAACAAGGTTTCTCTTTAGTATTTGCTTTCCTCCAAGTATCTAGTTTGTATATGTGCAGCTTCTCACGGAGACACCTTCAAGTCATTTCACTTCTACTGTTACTCCATCGTCTGAACCAAATTTGGGGTTTGGGATGGGGACCTCCGTGGCAGAACAGCGGGTGGATTTGTGGTAAAGAGAAGATTCTAAAATATTTAATTGAAGTGGAAATTCATTTTTCAAAGTTACTAGGTAATTGTTGAAGAGGTTCCGGTATGGCTGGCAACGGGACCGGAACCGGGCACCACGGCCGGAACCGGTAATTCCGGAAAAAAATCAGTGTACCC